CTCCCCGCTGAGCAGGGAGCCCGATGCGGGACTCGATCCCGGGACTCCAGGATCATGACCTGAGCCAAAGGCAGTCGCTTAACCAACTGAGCCACACAGGCGCCCCTTCTTTGGTCTTTTTAAATGAAGTCCCTTCCCTACCCCTTAATATGGAAGAGGATTAAAAGTGTGGTCCAGAGTCCCTCTGCCCAGGAAGCCTCTGTGGACTGCCTCTTACTTTTCATGGTGTCCATGATGTGGCGCTGTTGGAAGTTAGTCAGCTTGGATTCCTTCATCATCACTGCAAAGATAAAGCACCTCTATGAGGTCTCCTGGGTGGCAGGCAGAGCCCTTCATCTCACCCTATTCCAGTGTAAAACTGTATCACCCCCAACCCCATTCTGCACCTGAGTACTCCTTCTCCTTGTTTTTTTCTGGAGCACTTACTACCATCAAAATTCTATATATTTTACTTATTTATTGTCCCCTTCCTACTAGAATATTAGCTCCATGAGACAGAAAGAATTTTTGCTGTTTTCCTTTTTTTTTTTTTTTAACTGCTGTGTCCTCAGCATTTAGAGCAATGTCTAAAGCACATGAAGTAGGTTTAAAATTTTTGCTGTTGTTGAGTGAATGAATGAACGGACAATATTTATTAAGCATGTGCCAGGGGCTGGAGCTACAGTTGTGAGCCCAAACAGGCAAAATCCCTGCCCTGATGGAGTTCATGGTCTAGAGGGGTAGATGAATATTAATCCAATGGGAGACAACTAAATATCTGACTACAGGTTGTGTTGTCCATTGAAGGAAAAGGTATTTGGTGGTGTGAAAGGGCGGAACCACTGTGGTGGTGTTGGGTGGGGAGGAGATAAGGCTTCCTGGGGAAACTGAAAGTGTGGTCTAAGGGATGCACAGGAGCCCATCTCTTTAAAATTCTAATTTCTTTGACTTTTGGCCACTTGCAAGTTGTAGGATCCCTGAACTTTTCTGAACCCCAGGCTTTTTATCTATAAAATGACAAGAGCAATTGCTAAGCCACAGGTCATGTAGGGGAGAACAGAGGGTAATTGTTACCACCACTCTTCTCCTGTCCTTTAAACACACTGACCTCTGAGCAGCTCGCAGGTCCCCGGGGTGTAAGTGGCCGGCTTGGGGCAGCGCCAGAACTCTGTTCCTTTGGTCACTGCCTCCACCCTTTCCTGGGAAGCCATGGGAAGGCTCTGAGGAGGGAAAAACGCAATGGTACAACCCCCGTCTCCCAGGTCCAATCTCTGCTCGCGCACCCCACAATGCCACCCAAAGTCTGGGAGCGGGGGTGGAGCCACAGGAGAATCGTGACGTCGCCGTCAATTTCGCGACAGTGCCCTATCCTCCTACCCCGAACAGATACACAGGCAGACCCACACACACGAACGGAGACCTCATCCTGACCCGACGCCTGCGGCAGGGAAGCGTCTCTGGAGGAAGGGGGCGTTAGGATAGCAGTGGTCCGGACAGGGCCCGTTGGGGCATACGCCGAAATTGAAACCTCACCCTAAAGTAAGACCCCGGCTGGCTGTCCCCCGCCACAGAGAGCGGCTGGGCTCGGGAGACCGTAACCACAGCTCCGCAGCGGCACCGCGCCTGGGCCCCGCACAAATACTGGCAGATCTCGGCGACCAGAGCCGCCGCCAGCTGCTCTGGCTACCATGGTAACGGGCACACGCCTCTCGGCGCGTGCGCACAGTTACGGCTCCGGCCTGCCTCCCGGAAGTACTTGCCTCTGGGTCACGGCGCAGGCGCAGAGTACGCGGGGCGCCGCGCGAGGCGCGGGCACGCTGTTTGCGGGTTTCCGCGCGGGTCTTGGGCTCAGAGCCGTGTCGCGTCGGTGCGGGCGTCATGTCAGACAACGAGGACAAGTGAGTGCGGGGGCTTCGGAAGGAGCGGGTGAAGCGGGAGCCTGGGCCGAAGGAGGCTGCGGAGCCAGGCTCGAGGGGCAGTGTCTGAGGGGACTGTGGGTGCTGAGGGGGCTCGGGGGGACTGGAGAGGGGAAGGGCGGGGAGCCAGGAGCAGAGACCCGCCGGAGGCTGGGCACGGAAAGGCCCGACTCGAGGGTCCAGAGAGGAGCAGTGAAAAAGGTCTTTCAGCAGACTTCCAGCGGGCCGGGCTGTGTGTTTTGTAATGGGAGTACTGAGGTGAATCCGGCATAGTCCCTGCTCACCGGAGAGGGGACAGGCCCAGAAACAGATAGTACGGGCTCGTGTGAGAGTACGCGGTAGAAGTGTGTAGTATCGAAGTCATCCAGGGGAGAGTGTGGTGAGACCCGGGGGTGGTAAAGGTCTGGAAGGGTTGCAGTAATCTCAGTGAAAGAAGGTAGTGGCTTGGACTGGGGTGACGCTAGTAGCCGTGGTGACAAGTGGTTTTGAATTCTGGATTGATTTCGAAGCTAGGGCGCGAAGATTTCCGGATGTGCGGGATCGGAGGAGAGTCTCTTCTGAAGGTAAAAATAGTGGAATCATCAGCATAAGCATATTAGTCAAAACTAAGAATCAGGTGAGATCACCAGGGGAGTGTCAGTAGGGAAGAGTAGATGGCTGGTGATCGAGTTGTTAGAGCATTCTAGCATTGAGTACTCGTGGGAAAAGAGGGGAAACCAGCAGAGGAGACCGAGATGGAGCAGCCAGTGAGGTGGGGAACCCCAAGAGAGAGGAGGCCTTGCAGTCAAGTGAGGAGAGTATATTGAGTGGTGGTGGGGGGGAGTGGGGGAGTGGTCTAGTGTGCCAACTGATAGATCAAGCCAAATGAGAACAAGAATTGTCGATTGGATTCAGCAACGTGGCAGTCGTTAATGAACTTGAGAAGAGTGGTTTTGCCGGAACTGTGGAGGTGAAGGTCTTACTGGAGTGAGATTATGACAGAATGGGAAGAGAGGAATTGGAGACAGGGAAGATGGGCATCTCTCATGAATTTTGCTTCTAAGAGAAGCATGGAACTAGGGCCCTGGGTGGTATAAGAGAAGTAAATTTTGTTTGTTTGGTTGTTTTTAAAGATTATTTGAGAGAGAGCGAGAGAGAGGTGGGAAAGGGCAGAGAGAGAGAGAGGGAGAGAGAATCTTAAGCAGACTCTGTGTTGAGCGCAGAGCTCCACATAGGGTTCCATCCCACGACCCTGAGATCATGACCTGAACCGAAACCAAGAGTCAGACGCTTAACTGACTGAGCCACCCAGGCACCCCTGTTTGTTTTTTGAGATGGGGAAATAACTACATGTTTATACGTTGATGGGAATGATCCACTAGAGAGGGAAACAGTGATGGTGAATGAATGAGTCCTAGCAAAATTTGTGGGCTGATGGGGTATGGATGAAGGAGTAAAACGGAACAGAAGTTTGATTCACTCATTAACTAGTTATTATTGAGCCCTTTCTACATATCAGATGAGACAGAGATCTCTTCTTTCTTTGATTGTAGTGTGATGCTCCAACTAACTGATCCCTTCTTCTTATACAGTTTTGATGGTGACGACTTTGATGATGTGGAGGAGGATGAAGGGCTAGGTGACTTGGAGAATGCCGAGGAGGTGAGTATTTAGCTGTGGGCTCCCTTTCTCTGCAGCCCAAGCTGCCAAATAAGCGTCGGTGATAATTGCCTGAATGAGTGAGCAGTGTTCCAGTACTGAGTAGTGAAAAAGTCCTACAGGGTGGGCCATAACTTGTGGCTTTTGGGGCAGTTGGTTTGCTGATGGGTGAAATATTATCATTCATTCAGCAAGCATATGTTGAATGTTTATTATGTACTAGGTGCCCAGTGGGCAGGGTTTATGTAAGGAGCCAAGCGGGGCAGTGACCTGGGATAAAGCTGGAGAGGTAAGGGCCCACATCAGGCAGGATTTTCTAGCCTAAAGGCACTGGAAACCACCGGCAAGTGTTGAGGCAGAGAGTGGCACGATCCAGTTTACACTTTAGAAAGGGCATTCTGGCCCCAGGGTGACGAGTGAGTTGGGGAGGAGCAGGAGTAAAAGAGACCATTAGAGTCTCTCCATCCAGGTGAGAGACCTGTGGCTTGGACTTGGGTGCTCATAATGTAGGTGATGAGAAAATGGATGAAACATATTTTGGTGGATTGGATACGGAGCTAAGAAAGTGGGAAATGACAAAGGCGACCCCCAGGATTCCGGCTTGTGTAACCAGGTGGATGGGTTGCTAACTTCATGAAAGACATAGAGCTTTCTGTCCTGTGACTGATGGAGGAAGAACTGCTTTATGGCTCCCATAAAGTGAACGATCCCTCAATTTTTTTAGGCTTGGAAGCCAAAGCCGCCCTTTTTGGTTTTTCTCTTTCTGCATGGCATTCTCAGGTACCTATTCACTGAGTCAGAAACCTCCTCTCCATCCTCCTGGTGCCCCTACCATCCCTATTTTGTTGATTCTGCTTCCCACACATGGTCCGGCCCTGGTTCTGTTTCTCCATTCTTAGTGCTTCAGCCTGCTTTAGGTCTTCATTGCTCTTCACTCACTTTGTTGTGGAAATGTGTTACTGGTTTTCCTGCCTTCAGTCTCCTGCTACGCTGCTTGATTTGCCATTCTGCTGCCAGAGTGGTCTCTCTTACCTGATGGATTACTACTGGTCTTCCTAGAGGGTCTGCTTCTGCCCTTGCGCTCTGCAGACTATTCTCAACAGAACATCCATAGGGATACCTTTAAATCTTACTTTTTTAAAAAGATTTTATTTATTTGAGAGAGAGAGAGCGCGTGTGCACGAGCAGGGGGGAGGGGCAGAGGGAGATGGAGAAGCAGGCTCCCCGCTGAGCAGGGAGCCTGATGCAGAACTCTGTCCCAGGATCCTGAGATCATGACCTGAGCTGAAGGCAGATGCTTAAGCGACTGAGCCACCCAGGTGTCGGGATACCTTTAAATCTTAAGTCAAATTGTGTCTCTCCTCTATTTAGAACCCTCATCCAGGGGTTTCCCGTCTTATACAGAGTAAGTGCCAAACAGAAGTACAAGGTTCTCCATGCTCTGGCCACCTGCTTTCTCATCTCTCCTTGCTGTCCCTGCCAGGTCACTCCTGCTCAGGATCTTTGATTACCCGGTTCCCTCTTACAGGAATGCTTTTCCTGTAAATATGCACATCACCTACTGCTCACCTTCTTCAGGCCTTTGTCCAAGTGTCCCCTCAGTGAGGCTTCCATGACCATCTTATTTAAAGTGGCAATGTGCTCCTCCTCCTCCAACACACCCATTCTGGCACTCCCTGTCTTTTTTTCTGTTTATTTTTAATTTTACTTATTTTTTCTTTTGTTTTTACACTACATATTTTACTTGTTAATTTTGTTATCTCTTCTCATAACATCAGCTCTATAGGGGAAAGAATTTTTATTTGTCTTACTCTTCTATTTCAAGCACTTAGAACACTATCTGACATGCAGTAAGTACTCAATATTTGTTGACTTAATTCTTTGTTGTTTTTAAAAGTTTATCTATTTATTTTAGTAATCTCTACACCCAACGTGGGGCTCTGACTCATGACCCCAGGATCAAAAGTCACATGTTCTACCCACCAAACCAGCCAAGTGCCCCTAATTATTTATTATAGAATTTACTCTCCTGCCTAAAACGCTATGCTCACCTTTTGCTCTAATCATACTTCACAACTAGTACATTCTCTCCCACCCCTGTGCTTTTATGCATGCAACTTGGCCTGCCTAGAATGCTCTTCTCTTCCTCATTGGCTTGGCAGCTCCTACTCATTCTTCTTAAGGAGCTCAAGTCTCATCTCTGGACTGTCTTTCTAACCCCCAGCTTCTTGTTAATTTTGTTGCACACTTGCATCCCTTTGTAGCACCTGCTGTTTTGTTTACGCACATCTCCTCTCCTGACTGAATTCTTTTTTTTTTTTAAAGATTTTATTTATTTAATTGACAGAGAGGGAGAGACAGTGAGAGAGGTAACACAAACAGGGGGAGTGGGAGAGGGAGAAGCAGGCCTCCCGCCGAGCAGGGAGCCCGATGGATCCCAGGACCCCGGGATCATGACCTGAGCTGAAGGCAGTCGCCTAACCAACTGAGCCACCCAGGCCCCCCTCTGACTGAATTCTTTGAGAGCAGAACTGCTTAGCTTGCTGTCTTATCACCCATTATGATGATGTTTGGCACATGACAAATGCTTGATAGGTAATTGTTGAATGCATGTGAATGTGTGTATATTTCTGCCGTCACTTTGACTTTTTAGCCACTTGACCTATTGATTCAGTTACCTGTCTGAAAGATGGAGTGCTTTCTCCTTGCCTCCTGCTTAGAGAGATTTGTTGTCTGTGCTCAAGGACTTTGCATACAGCTAATGTTCTGGGACCACCCCATCTCCAGGCTGTCTGCTTCTCTCTTCTGGATGAGGCAGCTAGCTCTGGAATCCCAATCATGGTTCTTCTCTTTCACTAGGTCTGAGACTCTGGCCAAGTTAGCTTCCACTCTGAGCCTCTGAAATGGGCACTGTCACCGTACCGTGTAACGTTACTGTGAGGACTAAATGAGGTGTCACTAACTACAGCAGCGTGAGCGCTGGCATGTAATAAGCGATCGTGGTAGCGGTGATTGTCATCGTTGTCATCATCATCCTCCCCCTCAACCCAGAACATACTCCCTGAGACTTTCCGTCTTTTCTGTCTTGGTGTCCAGGAGGGCCAGGAGAATGTTGAGATCCTCCCCTCTGGAGAGCGACCACAGGCCAACCAGAAGCGAATCACCACACCGTATATG